CATTAGTCATGTTTCACTAGGCCACATTTCAAAGACCTTGTCCCCAACTCTTAAAATCACCAGCGCCCCAAAGGAGTTTACTGTCTATGGTATGGAAACTGAAGAAGATCCAGGAACCAAACTAGGAAGGTTTCTTTATGATGAAGATGGAGATCAGCTACAGACTTTCAACATCCCTAGTAAGGAAAACAAAATCTTCAAATACGTGAAGCTGCAGGTCGAGAATAATTGGGGGAATCCTGATTACTCCTGTCTGTACAGCTTCAAAGTCCATTGGAAGATGGTAGAATGAAACTCAGAAGAGGTTGACATGTAAGTCAAGGTGTCTGTGAAGTTGAATCATACTCCAAAAATTTGGCAATTTAAAGAGGAATAATTCAAATTATGTGGAAGAATTTGCAGCTATGAAAATATAAGTAAATGTAGCTGATGAGGCACCTGTGCAGGGTGGTCGCGGTGGGTGGGTGGGTCCTGGGGGGAAATATGGTGAACATTAGTTAGTGTAACGGCGCTTCTTGGATGATGTTGATTATCCTCGGTTGTCTTGCCGTTAACTATAATACTAAACATACTTAAAATATATATTCGGGTGTGGGTAAGTAAAAGCACGGGAACAACTTCTGCTGTGCGTCTCATACTTTTTTTTTTTTAATCTCCGTCCGTAACAAAGCATAACATATCAAGACTGCCCAACAAACAACAGCAACACCTCACTTGTCTTAAAGCAATATCACTCGTCAAACCGTAACCATGGGTAATCTTAAAGGCATAGTGCATCATATCAAACAGATACTCTTGTACAGTACAAATTGTAAATATAAATGAAATTAGCATTAAATCAAATAATGTATATTATCTCAACCTAAGAAAAATAAAGATCTATAAAATAAAACTTCACAAAAATAAATCTCATCTCCATCTTACATTAGCCTGGGTTACTCCGGGGGCTCCGGTTTTCTCCCACAATCAATAAAATGCCCATTAGGTTAATTAGAAACATAAATCAATAAAGAATTTTTGACTGAATTTATTTGTCTCTGCTTGTTTTATACTGAACCTAAAATTCCTATCTGCAGTAACGGTAACTTGGTATATGAACTTATATTATTTTATGAACTTTTTCTCATGTAAGGTAACTCCACGCAGCCACCGTCACTCCGTCTCGTTCCAAAGAGAACTACTCTTGGAGATTCTGCTCAGACACAGAGAAATGTGGGCGGGTTTAATTTTAGATTGGCTAATTTAGTCAACATGACATTAAGACTGACAGGTGGTTTGACCGATCACATATGTTTATTTGCATATAATACCCAAAAACAATATTTATCAAAGCACTTTTCTTGTATTAAAGCTCTCGTTTTACTGCATAGTATAATGCAGCAGTGTCCCACACCATAGGCACCGAAACAGTGCAAAAATGCTTAATAAAAGCAAGAAAATAGACGAAATAAAGAAAAAAGAGTCAGAGCTGCTGCAACAGGCTGTCGACTCTCAGCGCTCATAGGGGGAAATTAATTTTGACCATTCTTATTCACAAAAGCGCAGAGTGCAGGCGGTCCAATATAATGAGGTGTGATGATGAAGTTAAAGTGGTAAAACAGGATACTGCAGCTGCAGATAAGGACTGAGAGAACAATCCTGCAGAAAATAATTGTGTTCATTCGTACATGAATATAATGATTTTGCCACGCACTGCACCACAGTGTCTCCTGTTGATTTCTTAAGTTACAGATACTCACAGTTCAACTGTGAAACTTAAACAGTGAGACATGATTTCAGCAGTGTGTGCAGAAACTGCAGTCAGTTGGATTCTTGTGCTTCATGAGAAATATGCAGACGTAGCTTCAGTATTTGGCAAAAAAAAAAGTCAATTTAATGTACTGATTTGGTGTTGTGTGGTAATTACCCATTAAACGAATCGGATTATATAATTTTAGTTTAATTGTCTTATTAATGATAACTATTTTGTTACAACTTACATCAATTTATTACACTATTTTCAATATTTAAATAATAAAAGTGAGAGGATAACAGCACTAGTAACCCTGGGTTACCAGCAAAGGGTGTTTCCTAAGTTGGCCCGAGTCTATGGTGACATCTCCACTGTCTGTCTGTATTCTAGAGCAGAGACATCTGTAGTATTGTTAATTTCAAGAGAAGAGGCCATTTGGTCTTCTATATACTTGACAAATGTATTATCGGAAAGAAGTGTTGAGTTGAAACACCATGCAGTGCCTCGTGGGCTGCGGAGCACTTGGAAGTAGCCATGACATCACAACAGGGGCATGATCCGATATGTCAATGCTCTGTGGTCTGTACAGGAAAAGACTTGGGGAATTAATCTGTTGTCAAAAAAGATATACAGTACGGTAATCTTTTCTGGAGTATGTGTGATGGATGTTAGAAAAGAAGATGTTCTGTCTTGCGTTATGGGTGGAGGAACCTCCATAAATCCAAACTCCAGGAAGGACTGAATACATGAGGCTGACCTACTCCTTACTCCAGGTTTGCAGAAAGAGTGATCCAGAGTTGGGTCCAACCAGCAGTTATGCAAAAAGATGTATATGTGTTGCTTTCAGTGAACACAGATATTGAAAATGGTGGAGGGGATTTGTCACATTCTTAAGGTGTTTTATCCACTATAATGATCGTTCACTATGCTGACAGGGAAACATATTGAAGATATCAATATTTGAAATAATTTTAAAGACTTAAACACACATTTTCTTCTTTTTAATTGTCTGTTAGATTCTGCATTAAACTGGCCTCCATAGCAGCATAACTCTGTATTTTCTTTCTAATATAGCGGTTTTAACTCACTTTAAACATCAAATGAAGGTGAACTGGATTGCTGCAGTCAGAACCTGATTTAACTTTTCTACCTTTAGTTTTCAAAGTCTGTTGCCTTTTCATTTTCTATTGTGCAGAGCTTAAACACAGATGCCATGCCAGATCTTTTCTGTTTGCTGACTGTCTTCTAACTACTCAAAGCGCTTTTACACCGCAGGTCACACCAACACATTCACACACTGATGGTAGAGGCTGCTATTTAAAAGTGACCATCAGAAGTAACTAATCCCATTCATGGATACAGCGAACATGTAGCTGCAAGAGCTGGGGATCGAACCCCTGACCTTCCAGTTGAGAGACGACGACGACTCTCAACTGAGCCACAGCCACCCCTAACTAAAGCTTTGTTCTGTGGATGGATATGATGAGATGTGGTTGTAAGATGTGTGTGGTTGTGATTTTAGGTTGGATAAGAGATGTAATTTTCTGTTCTTCATTGCAGTTGTCTTTATGGAAACAGCAGACCAAAGAATGCTGCCTTGACCAGGACATTATAAAACATTTTTCATGCATGTGTTGGTATATTTTTGTCAGTTTGTGTGTACAAAACTTTTGTTCATTTAAAATACAAGATACTTCAATCGTGTTAGAAAACCATTTTTCTGGATTAGTCTCTTATGTGTCCTGATCTTTGTGAGGCATAATGTTAAAAAAAAAAGTCTTTCCACATCAACCCACATTAAATGCCTCACCAGACTGGCCCTCATTTATTCCTTTATTACTTTTTTTATTTATTCCTGTAGACACTTTTTATGGCCTGAACAATTGAACATCACAAAATGTTCAAACCACATGACATCAGTTTTCAATGACTCAAACACCTCATCCCTTTTATTAACATCTTCCATGTCGACCTCAAAGTAGTTATACATGGTAAGTGGACTTGTCTTCTACAATACTGAAGCTGCTTTACACCATGTGTCACATCGACCCATTCACACCACATTCACACACTGATGGCAGAGGCTGCTATTTCATCGGTATTAACTATTCTCTTCATAATAAAGTTCTTAAATGTAATAATTTATTTATGTTGATGAATTGTTTAAAGATGTATGCTGCTCCCTCGTCTTGGAATCAGTTGCAAGATACTTTAAATCTTGGGGAGCTGGTTTCCTTGAATGTTTTTAAAGGTCTTCTTAATGATCTGGAGGCAGAAATATCTGACTGTAGATGTTTTAGATAACTCGTATTGCCCTTTTTGATCGCTTTGTTGCTGATGACTTATGACAGATTCTGATGAATGGTTCTTTTTGTGATTCCTGTATTTATGTGTTTTATGTCTGAAACCCTGTAATTGTGCTGCTGCCTGTCTTGGCCAGGATGCTCTTGTAAAATAGATTTTTAATCTCCATGAGACTTTTTCCTGATTAAATAAAGGTTAAATAAAAATGAATAAAAAGATGGGGCGCTGGTGGTGCAGCTGGCGCAGTGGTTAATGCGTGTGGCCCATGTATGGAGGCTATGGTCCTTGAAGCGGGCGGCCCAGGTTCAAATCTGGCCTGTGGCTCCTCTCCTACATGTCAATCCCCACTCTCTCTCTCTCTCTCTCTCCCTGATTTCCACTGTCCTGTCTCTCCATTAAAGGCACAAAAAGCCCCCAAAAAATAAATAAAAAAAGATGCTTTATTAAATGGATGAGAATGGATGAGCTGATCTATTTTAAAAAAAAAAACTATATTCTGGTATCTATCTATTTTTTGTACATTTTTAATTTTTCTTTTTTTATTTAAACTGTGTACTGTGTTCACTTTTTTGTTTGCAATCTTTGCTCTTTGCTGCTGTAACACTGTAAATTTCCCCGTTGAGGGATAAATAAAGGATTATCTTATCTTATAGTGATAAAAATTGGAAAAACATTATAAACATAAAAAATGCGAAGCCAGTAATAAAATGTTGTTTAACAAAGAAAAAAAAATGTTGATGAAGTTACTGTCACTATGTAAGTATTATAAATGAGTTGCATTACACTCCCTGTCTCTAAACTGTGTGTGTGGGAGTTGCTGTGTAGGAAGTTTAAAAACATCTGGGCAGTTTCACTGAAGTGGTAGGTGTGTTACGAGAGTGTTTGTATGAGTAATTAAAGGTATTCTGTCTTGCTGCCTTTTTCTCTGATATAAAAGACCAGATGACTGACTGATTGAAAGTAGACTAGAGAGGGAACACACTGAGAAGGTGACTGATTCTGTTTCTGATTCTACACGAGCAAAGTCTTGATCATGAAGATGTTCCTGTGGCTTCTGTTGCTTGGCTTTGGTATGACCTATACGGCTGCTACTGGACCAGGTAAGACACATGTCCTTAACTTTATTCTACTTCATGTTTCTAGTATTGGAAATACACACATTGTATTTTAAATACCCTTTAATGCCGTTCTGATTTAGCTCACTCATAGCAATATAATAATTATAAATGCCTGGATTACTGACTAACAAACTAATCTTGTCCCATATTTTAGTGAGCCTCTGCCTTATTTAAAACGACATTATCTCTCAATAAGGTTGTGACATCATCATCTATTGTCAGATCATGTTTGCGATATCTTATAATAAATATTTGATATTCAGAGATGCATGTATACCTTGTCTAAAGGTGTGTGTTTGATTGATCATTGTTAGACATCCACAGCCCACTTCTTGCTTGTTCAAACACCTTCACTGTGTTTTTTAGACAGCTGTGTGGGTCGCTGTGGTGAGAGCTTCACCAGAGGCCAGCAGTGTACCTGTGACTTCAGCTGCCTCCAACATAATGAGTGCTGCCACGACTTTGAGGCGACTTGCTCCACCGGTAAGACCGTCACTAGAAGAGTTTTACCGATGGATAAAAACAATGTTCTAATCATGGTTATTAGAAATAGCTGTTACTTATAACATTACAAAAAAAGATTGCATTCAATACAAATATTCCATAAGAGTGTGAAATTTAATTATGCAATTATGTATTTTTTATTATTAATGTGTAAGTGTAAATATGAATCCTTCCTTCCTCATGTCATAAAAGGAGCCAAAGACAAATAGTATGTTTTTTAAAGATCTTTTAGCCTCATTTTGACTACTCTTTTCTTTCCTTGACCATCTCTCTACAATAATAATAACATAAAACAGAATCCACCAATAAATAAGACAAAAAAAAACCATACACCATAGGAAATCTGGTAAAAAAGAACAATAACATCTTCAAAAAGGAAAAAGGCAGTAGAAAAAAGTGACTCCTATAGTGATTAAAAAGAGAATAGTGAGATCTTCAGATAGGGAGTTCCACGGCCATCAGGCACGAACTGCAATGCTCGCGTCTTATGACCAGCAGAGTTTTATGAAATACTAGTTGGGTGCTAGAGGAGCAGTCAAGCTGGTCTGGCCTTTTAAGGCTTTAAAAACAAACAATAAGATCTTAAAATCATTTCCTGAAGTAAGGACAGGTGTGACATGTGTCACTTCTCTTGCCATGTTTTATAAGCTGTTTGGTTTTATTTGAATTGTAGTCTTTGCTAGTTCTGCTTGCTGGTGACAGAATGAAGTTCATTTCAGTAGTCGAGCCTGGGTGAAAAATAATGAATGAACTTTTTTAAGTCGGCAGGAGAAAGCAATGAGTTGTATTACTCTGTTCATCTGGCTTTCAAAAGAAAGCTGTGAAAGGACCTCATGGGTTGCTCTTTGCAAACATTATTAAATAGAGCACTCAGACTGAATGAGAGATTATTAATGACGCTAGTACAGGATCCAGATGGGGTAATAACAAAGACTTCAGATTGTCTAGTGTAGCTGAGTTTAAAGCGGGCATAGACTTGTGTGTCTTCAATGTAACATGTTTTCACCTAGGGTTAGCATGTAAACAGTAAATGAGAGGGGGCCTAAAGTACACCCCTGTAAGACCCCAAAAGGAGCACAGAAGGAAAGGGCATCTCTACACATTATAGAAGACCTGTTTAACATACAGAGTTTAGTGTTCCTCAAACAGCTGATCAACACATTGTGGTCCACTGTAATAGAAATGGAGTACAGCACAGAATCAGATGCAAACAGTAAATCATTGGAAACCTTGACCAGGGTTGTCTTAGTGCTGGAGCAGTACCCAGACTGAGATTTATTCATAAAATAAATCAGTTGAGTTCTTTTTTGTTTCTAATAACTTAGATGAAACGGGAGCTTGGAGTTTACAGAAAGCATCGGGATCAAGAGAGGGTTTCTTTAAAAATGTGTAAAGTGTTGGATTTTTAAAACCCCAGACGACAGAGAGCAGTTATTAATAGTTACGCTTTTTTAAAAACGAGTAGGATTGCAGACTGAAAGGCAGATGAATGTTTTATAAACAGTGCGTTCTTCGAGCTGCCAGAGAGATTTAGTGATGAGGGAGAGCACGAGTCAAAAGGCTACCTTAACAGTGTTCACATTTGGACAAATCTCTTTCATTTAGTGAGTGAGGTGGATGAGAAGTGGTCCACATTTCTCTGTTGAGGACACAACATCGGGCTAGACCAATCACAGATTTTACTGATTTAAACAGGATTCTGGGTTTATGACCATGATCAGTAAGAAGCTGTGAAAAATAAGTGTTTGTTCCTTTTTTTTGATTTTGTACTTCATATAAAGAGTTCATGAGCAGCTGTTTTTACTTTTCCCTCTTACGCTCTGTAAATCTTTATTTCCTGATTCAGTCACAGCAGAGAGAAAGCGTTTTGTATCTGACTCGGTTATCGAACCTAAAAGATAAGTGTGATACTGAAGAGTCCAAGGTGGAGCTGTTTTTACTCTTAACATGACATCTGTTGAAAGTCGTAAAAGCTTGACAAAAGCTTGGCATCAGTGCATCAGTGGTAGGGTGTTTGGGTCAGGAGAGAGGAGTGAAGCTTTGTGGTCAAAGATGCTATTTTCACATAATCCACACAGAAACCATGTGAGATCACAAGATCGGGTGTGTTCCCTTTGTCATGACTACGGAGCTTCAAATGTTGGGTCATGTAAAAAAAAAAAAAAAGTAAGAAGAAGTAAGAAGTAAGCACCGAGACTGACTGATAAAAGACCTAAAAAAATCCTGAGTAAAATGAGAAGTCATCTTAAAAATAAGACTTTTAAAACGAGGTAAATACAGAAACTGTTTTTCTATGGGGTGGGGGGCTGAGCTGATTATTCAACAGCAGGGGCTGAAGTGATGGTTTTTACTGTGATCAGGTTATTTTGCCCGTTCCTTGGTGAGTCTTGGTGTTTGAAGGAGAAATAATACCAGCATCAGGTGGACCCCGTTGTCAGGGGGCGGGGCTAGAGAAAAGAAGGTGGGCAGGGTCTTGCAAAGGAAAAATACCACTCAAGGTTAAAAGCAATAATAATGCTATGATGACAATGCTCCGTTTGCCTGGCTGTTGTTCTCAGGTCAGTCCTGTAGGGGTCGCTGTGGCGAGGCGTTCAGGCGCGGTCAGCTGTGTGAGTGTGACCCAGAGTGCGTCCACTACAACACCTGTTGTCATGACTACCAGGGATACTGTGGTAAGCAGATACAGTATAAAATACACTATAGTTTACTATTTCAGACACCACACTGACAGACATGCAACAAACTGACAGATTATTGGCCTGTGAGTTCTCCTCATATTCCTCATGACAACAATGATAAATGTTCTTGAGCTTTATATAGTGCTGTTCTAGTGATCTGAGAGCACATTTTACACGTCATGTCACAGTCACACAATAATGGCAGAGGTATTCATCCATCAGTATTAAAGTCTTTCTATGTGATTTTTCACACTTAAATGTAATAGAAATCAAGTATATCCTCTGAAAATAACTCTGAGTCATGACTGTCTACAATGGGTGTAACACCGAGTCCCACTGTCTGTGATGTTTTCAGAGTTTTCAGAGTCCTATCTTCACTTTGTTTACATTGCCCAGACGGCCGGTTGACTCCTCCCCTCACGTATAAAAGTAGTTTAATTGAGGGACTAGAGAAAAGAAGAATAACATACTGTACTCACTGCTTATCTGT